AAAACTCTCTCCCCCCACAGCCTGGTTGTACCCCCGCCTGGCCAACCACACTGGAGCCCCTGTGGTCTCCATACCCCTGCCCCCTCCCAGCACTCACATGCTGCCTCTAACACCCCTGGTTTGGGAGATACTCACTAAATAAAGAAGACACCATAGGCAGCCAAGACCAGTCCAGCTGTCCAACACACTGCCACGGCTCCACTGCGCACCACGGCCCCCTTGTCACAGATCTTGGTGGTGGGGGGTGGCATGAAAGAGGAGGTGCTAGCACTTGTCTCTGCAGGGAGGGAGATGGATGGTGAGGGGTGTGTCAAGGTGCCCTGGGATGCGTCCTGTAGGGACAGCCCCACTCCCCCACTGGTGGGGACACAGCACTATCCTGTCCCCAAATCGCTCCTTTCACGGCCACAGTAGGGCTGAGCTGGGGGGGCTGGGATGATGAACCAAGGCATGCTGTGGTCCATGACACACTGCTCTGACATTGGACCTACAGCTTGGGGATGCTTGCTCCACCAGGTAGAGCTGGGCATCCCTCCTGGCCCCATTCTGCCCAGCCAGGCTGCTCTGTGAATTAGCTCTGTGGAAATTTTGGTGAAGAAGTCGTGATGACATGGGCATAAGTCATCAGCAGAGATAATTCCCTGCACAGGGAATGTCCTAGACACTGCTGTCACTGCTGGGCTGGCTCTCAGGGCTTGTCCTCCTCTGTACAGGACCAGATGGGTTGTCTGTCCCCATCAAGAATGGGAGGATGGCAGGAAGGGCTTGGATGAGCAGCCAGGCTGGGGCAGCTTCCGTCACATGCAGAGGGGCCCAGAGTACCCCTGGCCAGACAATCTGGGGAGATGACAGGGAACAAGGGTCTGTCTCGATGTCTTTCAGGCTCCACTGAAATGTCATGACAAGGCTCAGCCCCTGAGCAGGAGTGTCCCACATCAGCCCTGCATGGCTGCAGTCAGCTTGTACTGGGACATGTGTGTGTGAGGGACGTGTGTGTGTGAGGGACGTGTGTGTGAGGGACATGTGTGTGTGAGGGACATGTGTGTGTGAGGGACGTGTGTGTGTGAGGGACGTGTGCGTGTGAGGGACATGTGTGTGTGAGGGACGTGTGTGTGTGAGGGACGTGTGTGTGTGAGGGACGTGTGCGTGTGAGGGACATGTGTGTGTGAGGGATATGTGTGTGTGAGGGACGTGTGCGTGTGAGGGACATGTGTGTGTGAGGGACGTGTGTGTGTGAGGGACATGTGTGTGTGAGGGACGTGTGTGTGTGAGGGACATGTGTGTGTGAGGGACATGTGTGTGCCTGCACATGGTGCTGTTGGAAACGGGATTTGCCTTTAGAGCAATGCAGGCAGGTAAAGAAACAAACCCAAACCCCTGGGTTTGCACTCCTTGCAGGGGTCTACACCTTCAAGAATGGGGGGCTGCAAATCCCTGCTGCTGCCAGAACCCCCAGGTGCTGTACTGGATACTGCAAGGGGGCGGGGAGATGTCTCCCTGTAGGAGGCACCTCCACCCACCAGCAGCAGGGTGGGTTCCTATTGCATCCCCACACGGGGGGCACGGCCAGGACCTACAGAGGTTTGTGCACAGCTCTGGAAGTGCACGGCTTGCATGCACAAGCTGGGGTCTGCACACGCAGTTGGGATAGAGCTTGGAGGGTGGGAACATTGAGCATCCCCCCTCCCCACACACACATCTGCTCAGCTGACACGAGTGACACCGACTAGAAGCCTGCTCCCTGCCTGCACACCAGTGCTTCCCCGTGCCCCAGTGCTGGTGCCAGCCAGGGGAACCATAGCAGGGTCCTCTCCAGCCCTTCTGGGAAACAGAGGGCTGATAATGCCCATTTGGACACAGTCCCAGCTCTTTCCTAGAAACACAGGCTTGTTAACTTTGTGGCTTTTACTTTCAGTTGGCATCCCTCCGAGACATTGTGCAGGGTCAGAGGTGTTGAGGGGGTGGGACTGGAGATGGAAGGCTGGAGGGGGGCAGTGGTCCATGTAGTAGTAGTAAAAAACCCCAAACAACAACAAAACAAACAACAAAAAACACCAAGAAAAAAAACACAACACAACACCCTCCCAGCTTTGCTGTCAGATCCCAAGCATCCTGGCAAGAAGGATGGCAGAGCACACCTCAGGCCACGGCTGCACCTGCTGCCAGTGCCATTGGTGGGAGGAAGGTGTAGGGTGAAGGGCTGCAGCCCACATGGGTGCTGAGGGAAATCTCCTTGGCTGGGGATGAAACTTGCACAGAGCCAGACAGAGGAAATCCTCAGCCAGGACTGCTGAGTTCCCCCTTGTTGTGAGCACAGCCTGTTAGTATGGGGAGGAAGGAGACGTCTCACCTGTGACCTGGGCCTCCGTGGTGAGATGTTTGGGCTCCTCTGTCCAGGGGGTGGCATGGACAGCCACACTCCAGTCACTCCATGTGCCAATGTCATTGTCCTTGGCTGCCACCTGGATGATGTACTCCTTGCCAGCATAGGCGTCTGTGATGGTGTGTGATGTCCCATCTGACAGCTCAACCTGAGGGTGGCAGTGGGAAGGGGAAGGTCAGAGGATCCCTCAGCACAGGGAGGTGTAAGACAATCAGCGTGTTTATATCGGGTCGAGGATGATAACAAAATTTTGGGAAGTCTTGTACAATTTGGGAAGTCTGGGCTATGGGGTTTTGGGCAGAGGCATGAGCCCAGGACAGGGATGCAGAGGGAAAATGCTCCCGCTGCAGCTAAGTCTAAAGTCTGGTTAAGATCCAACCCCACCCTGTTCCCAGTCTCACGGTGCTGGAATGGAGTGGCTTCCTCTAGAGGTCACCAGAAACTAGCAGATATGTGCACGGGCTCTGGAACAGGCTGCCAGGGAAGTGGAGGAGTCACCATCCCTGGAGGTATTTAAGCAACATGTAGATGTGGTGCTGAGGCACCTGGTTTAGTGGTGGACTTGGCAGTGCTGGGTTAACGGTTGGACTTGATGATCTTAAAGGTCTTTTCCAACCAAAATGATTCTGTGATTCTATGTTAGGGTGGCTGGGAACCAGACATCCAGGGCAACGGCTGAGGAGGACTTGTCCACCAGTTTGCCTCTGGCCACCCTGTTCCTGTGCCTGCTGGCATTGCACCAGCTTGGCTTGCATCCCTTATACAAGGATCATGCCATGCCCATCCATCTTTCCTAGAAAAATTCCCTCTGTCCTGTTGTCACCACTGCCTGGGTCACAGAAGGTCCTCCCACCCTCCAGGGGATGCGGCTGCTGGTACAATGGTTTAGTCCCAGACAGTGTCCGCACATTCCAAGGATCTCTGATCCACTTGGAGCTTGGCTCATGGGTAGAGGGATGCAGGTGTTCAACAGAAATGCGTCCCCATCACACAGCCACCAGTGAGCAAAACTGCATGGCTGGCAGATGAGGAGGGCTCAGCACCCAAATGACTTTCCAGGGATGGAGACAAGCTTGGCATTGGAGGGCACGGAGGGGCCCAGGGCAGAAGCATCCCACAGAGGCTGTGTGGGAGATTGCTCTCCAACCAGTCTTTGAGGCTGAGGACTAAACACTGCCAACTTCATTCCCACGCTGAGTTGCCTGTGCACGAGGGACACACTGGGCACCCCTCGTCCTTCCCCTGTGCCCTGGTTGACAAAACCCACCTTTCCTCCAGGCACATGTTGATAATAAAGATGCTAGGGAGATGAGGGATGGTGCAGGTCTGGTGTAACCCACCTGTGAGCATTGGTGCCCAGCCACCATGCTCCAGCAGAATAAGCAGCACTTAATGGGTGGGGGAAACTTCATGGCATAATACATGGGTAGGGTCCTCAGTGTCTCCCCAGCAACCCAGGAAAAGGGCAGGTACAGGATCCCACTTCCCCTGGCAGTACCAACAGCTGAGGTTTATTAACAATTCAATTCAATGACAGAAGAAGGACAGAGTCAAAAACTTCTGTCTGTCCTTGATTACGTCCCGAAGCCCAAAGACAGAAAAGCTTCCTCTTCATGGTGTGCAGGGGACTTGGGCCAATGACCCCAGGACAAGGCACTTTTGCTCCAGGTGAGATCCTTTAATTCCCTATTCCCTCTCCCAGGGATGCATCCAACCTGCTGCCCAGCTCAGTGAGGCCCTCAGGCTCTGCTCTGCAATCCCAGTGGCTCATGCTGCCCAGCCCTGGCCCGCTAGAGCCTCACATCTGGAGCACATCTGGAAGCATGCCTGGCTGGTGCCCCCTCAGATGCTAAGGGAGCAAAGGTCTTCCTGCTGCCCGCAAGGCGTGAAGCTGCTACCAAAGAGAGGAGCAGTGTGGAGAAAGGTGCTGCTGCAAGTTGGGGGGGAGGTGTTTTGGACCATTTAACTTATGGGATAGGTGAAAATTGAAATGCTGTGAGTTCTGGGTGGAAGGGAGGATAGGGAAAAGAAGATGAGGAAGATGACAGCCCCTACTGCATGACATGGCTTTGCATCCTCCAATCTGTGGAGTCCCTTGGCTGAGAACCATCCCACCAATCCCACCAAGCTCCAGCCCTTCTCAGCCCAGGAACAAAACCTAGGCTGGATGAGGGTCCTCAGAGGTGACGAGCTCTTTGTACCCATGGCTGCACCAGAGCTGAGGAGACAACATATGCATCCTTTTCTCATAGGGACACACCTTTTTGTCCCAGGCACCCTGGGATGGGTAGGCAGGACAGAATACCCACCAAGCCGTGAATCACCCTGCCTCTGCAAAGCACTGCACTTGGCAGGGCAACCGTCTGCAGCCTTGTGGCACAGTGAGGCTGACCCTGCCACCCAGGCCCTGGGATTCTCAGCTCTGCCACCAGCTCCGGTCACTGCTCACAGGGCAGAGGGCACATGGGACAGGATGCAGGGCAGCACAGAGAGGAGACCTGCCTGGATGGGGTCAGCCCAGAGCTCCTTGGTGGCATCCACCAATTTGGACAACAATGCTAAGGTAATCAAGGTCAATTAATTCCTAATGAAAACCAAATTAAATGAAACCTTGCTGGGTTTGCTGCCAGCTTCCTCCAATCCCTGTGCTGATGGTACTTTGCAAGCAGGGAACGAGCACAAGGCTCAGAAAGATGCAGAGGGTTATGTGGCTGGTGTGTGGGTCTCTTTAGGTCTTTCAGCATCCTCTGAGACCTTCTGCCTGCTCCCTGATCCCTGCAGCAAGCAGGCTGCAGTTAGCCAGCCCCACTGAGATCCCTCTGGCCTGGTCAGGCTGCTGCTCCATCTGGAGCATTTTCTACAGCTCAAAGAGCCCTCCCAGCTGAGCACTTTCCCTTGAGAGCAATTCCCTCCCAAACACAGCTAGTTTGCAGATGAGTGTTTTCAGATGGGGCATCATAGGCACAACGTTGTTAAAGGGGGGGATGTTCCATGAGGACACAGCCTAGAGGACCTGGAAGTCCTTGTAGGACCTAACAAGATGGTGCCCTAAGTCCCTTTTTAGGCAGCAGACAAAAAGAGAAGGCACAGATGACAGATCCATCTCTCTCCACATAGACAATGTCTGCTCGTAGCACTTCTGAGCTACCCAACATTGGCCATGGTGGGTGAGAAAGTCCCTGGGTGGGTGCCCACAGCTCCACACAGAAGTGCAGCAGCAGATGGGAAAGCACCCAGGGACTGGGTCCAACCGGACAGAGGCAGGGAGAGCCTGTGGGGGGGACACTGGGGAGGTCATGGGGGGATGGATGGACACACAGCATCAAAGGCAGAGAGAGAAATTCCTTAATCCGCGCCCCCGCCACACAAAGACAAAAGTTGGAGGAAGACTGAACATGGTAATTTTTTTGGCCAGGGGGGTCTGTGTCTCATGGGCTGCCTTTGTGCACCTGCCAAAAGTCACTCTGGCTGGCTGTGAAGTGATGCCCAGATTAATGAGGAATCAGTAGACAGTGCAATACAGAGCTGTTAGCAATGCAAAAAAACCCCCCCACAAACAAACAAAAAACCCAATCAAACAAAAAAAACCCCGAACAAACAAAAAACCAACAACAAAACATGAAGAAAAAACCAAACAAAACCAACAAAAAACCGAGAGAGAGGGAAATGAAAAAAAAGCCCTTCAACCCAGCATTTCAGCTGACAGCTTGCTGAGGACAGCGTGGACTGGGATCTCATTCCCTGCTGTGGCCACATACCCTCATCAGCCTGCTTGGGAAGATAACTGGGGTTGCCAGGGACTGCCAGTGCCCACCCACAGCCCTGAGCACCAGGATGAGCCCAGAGACTAGTGCCAAATTCATCCATTTGGGAACAGACAGTGGAGGGGAAGATATTCCAGAGCTTGGCTTTCCCTGTGTCCGTGCTGGTCTCCCCTGCATGGGTGCTGGAGGCCTGGGGGCATCCACAAGAGGCACCCACCCCAAGAGGGGACATCCATGTGTGCCCTCGTCCCAG